GAAGAGGCATCACCTCGGCCGAATTTTGTCAAGTCCCCTGGGAACACAGGAGGTGGACGGAGACTGAGAACAGATGCGTCGAATCCTGGCCCCTTCTAGCGACCGCCCAGCCTGATGCAACCTGAATCAAGCCCAGCAGCTCCTGAATCAATCCCCGCAGGCTGAGAAGGCCAGGGTGTTCATCATCTCCTCAGCCCCCAGAGGACGACTTCCGAGGGGAACGGAAACCCGCAGCAGCGAAGCTACAGCCCTGCGTTGCCTGACGACAGCCCGCAACCCAGCTAAACTCGCGCCACCAGCCGCCCACATGGCCACAGGGCTCACACATTCCAGAAGCCAGAGCTCTCCCTAAGCTCAGCAGCAAGGCTGAACGCAACTCGACTCCCTCCAGAGTCGGACGTGAGGCCAGGGCAGCAGCCTGGGGGCCCTGTCCTACCAGTAAACGGCTCCTTGCTGGAAGAGTCCAGTGTCTCCCAGCTGAGGATGTGTGAGCGGCCCCTTCTGACAGCAGGGCTCGCACTTCCCTCTCGCTGGCAGCACCCAGCAGCCCAGAGAGAGCATTCGGAAATCTCGCTTCCTCCCTTCTCAGCCCGGGCGCTGTGCGACGGCGCTTGGCTGCGGGCTCGGGGAAGCTCCCTTTGCTGCTCTTTAGGAGCACCTGCTCGGCTCTTCCCCGCAAACACTCTCCCTATTCAGAGCTCGCACAGTAAGCCAGTGAATTTCAGCGCTGCCCAAGCCCAGGAGAGCCACAAACATCAATTATCGCAACGTTAACTTGGCAAATTACGCAGGCGGCGGCGCCGCGTTCTGAGCTTGGGATTTCAGCCCCGGCACGCCGGGCAAAAGCGCTTCCGCACAAACAAGCTCCTGCTGAGGCAGGGAAGAGATGCTCAAAAAAGAGCGTTCCACAAATGCAACAATTCCTACAGCCCGGGGAAAGCTCAGCACAGCTGCTGCCCACTCCGAAACATCAGTGTGAATACACGCACCTACCACGGTCAGCAAGAGATGCGCCAGCCGTTGGGCATTTGGTCTGAATTTGACAGGTCCTAAATGTCTGTTTTCTTCCTCCATGAGACCGGCACACGGGTAAAAATCTTGATTTCTTTAGATTTTATGCTTATTTGTATTTTGACTCTAAGTGCTTGAGAAGTATTGCTTAACTCCTGCCTCACCACGACCTGAAAAGCAGTTCCCTGGTCTTCCTCGCTCCCTTTCTAAGTGTCACAGCAACTCCTACCAGTCCCCTCCTCCCTGGCTGCTGAGAAACGTGCTCCAGATGAGAGGCAGCAGCAGGGCTGGTGCAGATGCAGCTCCAGAGCACAACAGCCCAGGAAACTAAGAAGCGGCAGCACAAACACCTGATGGGGTAACGCGGTCTGAGCCGGTTTCCCTACCAGAGTACGGATTGCTGCTCAGGCTGCCGTCTCTTCCAGTCAGAGGGGTGGTCGGGGTAGGGAATGGGATGCTGTAGTAATCCTGAAGGAGAAAAAATGACAGGAGAAGGAGTTAGAATCATGAAGGTTAGAATCAAGGCCAAGTTTTACGGGCTCAGCCCAAAGACGCGAAGCGGTTTCTGGACTGCAGCCGCTAGATATGTCGGGGTATTGCAGTTCAATCAGCCACGTCGAGGCTGATCACAGCCTACGGCAACCCCGGCTTTTTGTAGCATGCACCGTCCCCCTCGTCTGGCTACTGGGAAGAACCAGATAAGGTCTACTGGTGTGCAGTCCTTAAACCGCCTGGATTCTCCCCTCCGCTTCACAACCCAAGGGATGCAAGTACTGCTGAATAAAACCCATGGAAGTATCTAGTCACTGCCTCTTTCAAGGGTCAGAGAGAAGTTTCTCTCTGTCGGGAAAAGCAGCTCTGCCTGCTGTAGCTCTCACGTTCCCTACCCCCAGCATCAACACCACGAATAACTCGTGGTCCTACCTCCTGAAGCTCAAAGGAGCAACCGGTTATCTCCCCATTACTGACACAGAAAGGTGCGGCCAACTTAGCACCCACTTTTGCCAGCTCTGCAGGGTGACCTCGCAGCCTGACCCGTCGGTACACCCAGAGCCAGCGAGTGTCGCCTTCGAGGAGCTCTTCAGTACTCACCAAGGGGAATCTCGTCTGGAGCATTTGCAAATCGTCATATCCATACACCTGTGGCTAGAAAAAGAGCAGGAGATGACGTTAAGGACAAAGATTAAAGACACGTAACCTCATTTTAGATTAAAGATTTAGATAAAGGCGAGGTAAAGCCAGCAGCAGAAGCTCAGAGGCTACACACCTCCGTGGCGCGGGCAGCCAGCAGGCACCAGTGTCAGACTGACGCTGCCAAGAGTGTTTTATCAGCTGCTCGAATGAAGAGAGAGCACCAAGACCTGGCGCTGCTGCTACAGGCCACAAAGGCACTCCACAACTTCCCTCAACACCAAAACCTGTCCTCACCTTCGGAAGGCGGCTGTGACACAGCCCTGGGCGTTGTGGCAGTCACCACTTCGCTCTGACTGTTTGGCCTGTGCCATAACCGTGTTGCTAACACAGCCCTGCACTTGCACAAGTCGTGCTCTCGCTGGTTGGGGCTGTTGCTCCCCAAAAGTTGGGGGAGGCTGGAGTGAATCTGCTCCGAGGTGAACAGAATTAGAGACATTTACCCTCCACGGACACGTGGGTTTCCTCTGCTACTGTTTTACGCAAAACTCTTCCCACCCAAGGCAATCCTGCCGGGCTGATGGTCCAGTTTTGGGTTTCTCTCCTACGCTACATCACTCCCGCGAGCGGTAGGCAGAGCTAGGAGGAATCTAGCGACACGCCATGGCTGCGAAGAGCCAGTCGTCCCACTCACCGGGTAGGCATGTAGCAACCCTGGAGCCATGATGTACGGGTTAGGCAACAACGGCGGGACTCCAGGAGGGAGATTGGGAGGGGCTTTTCCTGATAAAAAAAGAGAGAGAAAAGAAAAGTTCCTCAGTGAAGCAAGCAGCAGAGGTTGTCTCTCTTCGGCTCCACAGCCTCCCGCTGTTTGAGAGCACCCAGGGAAGTACCTGATGTCGTTGCGATGGAGCTGCGAGTCGAGGCCGTCACCGTGGAGTTACTGCTGAGGTTGAGGCCCAGGCTGCTGACGCTGCTGAGGCTGGATGAAACGCTCACGACCGGCGGGGCGGCCGACACCGTGCTGGAGGAGGTGGAGAAAGTGCTAGCAGAAGAATGGAGGCTTGCTTCACTTTCCACACTCGTGTGCTGGGGAAGGAAGGAGAAGAGAGTCAGTGGGCCGAGGCAGGCAGAAGCATCGCGGGACGTTGCCCACACACGCGCGGCTCCGCACCCAGACGTTGCTTGCAACGAGCCGGCTGCCCGCACTGGACTTGGCTGTCACAGGCTACAAACAAATCCTGCTGGGCATCTGGCTTAAATCCCAAGTCCTGATAGCAGCCAACCCCTAAAGCTTCCAGGCCTCTCGCGTGGCTGTGTCCCAACGCGCCGGCCTGCTGGGAGAAGCAGGGCTGTTTGTGGCAGGGGGGGCTATTTAGCTGCCGAAGCTGAGAAACCAAC